AAGCTTCCCTTCATCCACTCTCTCCCCATGCCATTCCTTCTCTCCATACGAAAGCCAACAGGCTTTCAGCTGTGTTGGCTGGTGGCTCATATGGTTTCACATAGGCCAGCATCTTTGTGTGGGGGTGACTGAGCTGCCTGCTCATGGTGTGAGTGGTGGGACTCATGGCCCTTTTGAGAAGGAGCAGGAGGCAAAGCCGGGGTGTAGACCTGTTCAACAGAGTCACCTAAGGAGAAGCCCTTGGTCCCCATGCTCCAGAGAACAGTGATGTACTATTGCATAAAGCAATTGGTCATTTGAATGCATAAACAACTCTATTTTTCAAAGAATACACAACAACAACAAAAGTTCACTAGAAAAGTTTTATTTTCTATAAGCTTATTTAATATTTTGAACTGAAATATATGAAAGCAACTTTTGATTCTGAAAAATGCTGGAACCTAGCTTCTTGAGCATATAGTCTTTTATATGAGTGATGTGTGGAAACTGGCCCTTTTCTGAAAATGATTTTTGTTGGGCCACACCTGTATTTCCAAAACAAAGCAGGGAATTCTTAGCCAGACTCTGATTCCTTTCCTTAACTTACAGCTTAAGCCATTCAAAAATCAAAGCAACTGTTCATGCTTGTGTTATGTGAGTGAAGCTCCTTTTCTCATTTCATACAAATTATCTAGGACCTCATGTGATGGATTTTAGATTTTCAGGTATGAACATAAATGATGACCATTCCAGCAGCTGAAGCATCTCAAATCTCTCTGTCGTCACCAGGCTGGTGATGGATGTGGACTGCTGCTAAATTTGTTTCCAAAATGGAGAAAAATCCAGGAGAAAATCCGGTGTTTTATTGTTTTCTTCAAGTTTCCTATAATTGCAAAGCAGCTGCAGGTGAAACTTGAGGCAAGTATGTAAAACCCAGTTTTAGGAAATGGCTTTGTCTCATTCAGTTCTACAGGTAGGCCTTGCACCTTGCTCACCTATCACTCTGGATTTAACCAGTATCTAGTAAACCACATAATCATCAAATGAGCAGACACGTAGAGCTGTGGCTACCCTAGTGGTAAGCAATGGCCAGTTTCCTCGAGGAGCAGCCACCTCAGAGAAACCTGTGTATGAAGCCTGTATGCAGTTAGGATTTGTGTAAATCATAAGGCTGTGGCACTTCCCACAAGACACAAAACCTGTTTCTAGTAGAACAATCTCCCAAATTACTTTTTTTCTTAAAAAGGCTGGGAGAGGTCCTTCCTCAATGATAAAGTTAGTTCATTAACTGTAAATGCTGACAACAACTGCAGTGAAACCTATAGATAGTCTTGAGAAGCTCTTGTTATACATGGAACAAAATTAATAACTGCAGACACCTGTCAAAACAATGATTACATATCAAGAATGACTCCAGATGAAAAAGGAGATGTTTGAAACTTCCTTCAAGCATTAGTTTTGGAGTCCTGAGACTTTCAAAGCCAGTTGGAGAAGACTCTTGGTATGTGCATGCTCTATACTTTGTGGAAGTCTTGAGATTCACAGATGGAGTTTTTTCCCTTGTTAATGAAGGCATATTTTTTGCTTGACAAGTGGAAAATGTTGCCACCTGTGAAAAGATTAAATAGGGATTTTGAGTGGACTCTTTGTCTGTGGCTGAGTTTTTTAGAAATCCTGGCTGTGGGCCAGCTCTCAAGAGGAATATTCCTAATGTTTGTTTTTTCCTATGGCTGAGATCGGATCCTTAGATAATTTTGTCAATGACACAACAAACTGTTTTATGGAGGGAATATACTCATATTTCCTATGTCTCCAGAGTCACTGAAGCAGAAGTCTGTGATTCTCGTTATGTGAACAAGATGTTCTTAATGTTGATACTGCCTTTTCTTTCCAGCACACTTGTGTTAGGTATAAACACATGGAATTCTTTCTACTTCATTTATTAGCATGGGTAAATTTGCATTCTTCTTTTAAATTCCTAATTTCATATAGATGGGACTCTCTTCTAGCAAAGACAGATAAGAGTTGAATCAATTTCCTGAGCTTAGTTTAGATAACATACAGTTAACACCCAATTACTTTTAATAATAACATTGTTGGAGAGTGATAAATTTGTCCCTTACAGTATTATCATTGGCACGTTAGTGAAAGAGTCCAGGAGATGAATATTATGGTTGGCAGAGATGCTGGTCCATCCTTTACTGGTGGAAGGAGCACAGCTCTGCTGGAGGCTGAGTCCTGTGCCCTCTTGCTGCACCTGAGCTTCTGCACAGTTATTTACACCTCATGGACCTGGAAAGGATTTTCTAACAATATTGTAGTTGCTGCTGTGATCCTAGTTCTGTTTTCTTTTGTTGTTAGCTTTCCTGTGTTCATGTTCTTACTCCTTTATCTCCACTCTCTTGACTTCCAGTGCTTTCCTGGAGGAAGATCATTAATTTCGCTACACACATTTTAACAATTTAAGCTTTTCCTTAAGTGGTTGAGTTATGAGGTTTTTCAGCAAGACCTTAACTTTCATACAGTGACCTAAACTGATGGTAGAGAAATGTCTGATTATGAGATTATTGTTCCAGTCTTTATTCAACAGTCAGAGGAAATACGCTGTATAGCTGAAATTCCTATTACAGAGAACAGAGATAAGAGATATTTAGGCTGGCTCTTATATGCAGGCCACTAAGCCAGAACGCAAACATGGAGTAGCAACAGCACGGACTGTGCAAATGGTTAGTCTCAATTTGAGATTAAGCACGACCACCAGGTTGCCCAGGGATGTTCTCCCCCACTGAGGGAAGGAGGTCTGAAGCCACGTGCCCAGCTGAAGCAGCTTCTCCCGCAGTGCCATTCCTCGTGCTTCTCCACTGGTGTCTGCTAAAGCTTGGCCTTTATGCATTTCTGGTTTGCTTACAGGTGATCCCATCTTCTTCATGGCATTCACTTGTTTCTCTGGCTAGCTTTTTGCCTTGGCCAAACTTGTATCTTCAGCTTCCCTGAGAATTTTCTGAGTTCCCAAATAAAACGTGGTGTTGTATCTAGTGTGCCAGAGCAGTGAGCAGGTGGCGTGCTCTGTCTGCTCTACCTAAATAACCCATCAAGTGAGGATGTGCTGAACTCTCCTTTGGCTGTCATCAGTGGTAACACTGCATTTTTGTGTCACGAGTGCTTTAAGGCAGAAGTCACCCACCTGTGCTCGTGTGTCTTTGTAGATCGCCAGAACACTGAAGTTGCCCATAGTACCTACTGCTCGCTATTTGGCAAATAAATTGATGAAAACTTTTCTTCTGTGTATGTGGGCATAAAACCTTGATAGCTCCTTTTCCCTTCTGCTTTGAGGCTTCGGCTAACCAACCTGTTCTTCCTTTATAGCTACTCTGTCGCTCCTCTGTGGTCAAGACATAATATTTCCTTCCTCAAAAAATGCAGCTTCCTTCTTCTCCCACCCGGCCCCCAGCTCTTGTCCAGAGCAAGTAAGTGCATGTGGAAGCCTCCTCATTGCCTGCTTTCTTACCATTTCAGTCTTCTCTGCTATTGCATTTCCACCTTTTTACATCAAACCTGATCTCGTCATCTGTCACAAAACTCTAACGCTATTCTTAACATCCCATAAAATTCTGCTATTTGCTTCCTGTCTCTTGAAGCCCTCTCTCCTCTTTGAGTCACGCTCTCCCCTGTGCCTTGCCATACATCTTTTTTTTCTTCTGCAGGTATTTAATGCCCTTCTCATCCCCATTCACTGCTGATCCTGTCTCACCTTAACAAGACTGTCCCAAAACTCACCCACTGAAAGTACTTTTTTTTTCACTGCTTCTTTTTCACTGGCCTTCCAGCTGCAGTGACCCCATCCACTCTGGCTTTCTAATTTGTGCTGAGAACCTGCACACCCCCTGCTAAAACCTATTTGCATCTGGGATCGTTTTAATTTTTTTTTTTTTTTTTTGATCTTTGTAGCTTGTTACTTCCCATGTGGATTGAATTCCTGCCTAAACGATTGTTTGCTTTCTCAGCATTTGTCCTTCATTGGTGTTTCACCTCTTTCAGGTTCTTCACAGAAGGGACCTAGGCTCACTATCTCTGAAAAGCCAAGCACATATAACCGCTCTGTGCTGTCGTCCCTCCCAGCAAGAAGGCATCCACCGCCTTGCCCTTCCTTGATACTTAGATGACCTTGACTGTTTAGCTGCTGCCTGTCTTTTATTCAGCTGAGCCACAAGCTCTGGTGCAGCCTGAGCTATCCAACTCCTGCCATTCCCATGCTTGTTGCTGTACCTTTCACTTGGCCTTGGCACCTGCCTGCCGTGTCTTTTGTATGTGATGCTGCCACTGTCTCTCTGCTGTGTATCGTATGAACTTTGCCAGCTGTTTGGTAATCCCCAGACCAGCTCTACCTGCCATTGTTGGAGAGAAAATGAAGAGGCAGGTGGGAGAATTTGCTGTCTGGCATATGCCACCATATTGTGCAGCACACCCTTATCTCTCCTGTGGTCCACTGTGACCTGAAACCTGATGGGTAACTCACAGAATTGTTGAGATTGGAAAAGCCCTCCAGGATCTCCAGGTCCAACCACTCCCCTACCACCAATGTCATTCACTGAACCATGTCCCTAAGCACCACGTCCAGCCTTTCCTTGAACACCCCCAGGGATGGTGACTCCACCACCTCCCTGGGCAGCCCGTCCCAGTGCCTGACTGCCCTTTCTGAGTGCTCGTGCACATCCATCATGTCACACAGGTCTGAGGTGAGAGTCTTTCCTGCAGCAGTTGTAAGAGATTGTCACCGAGAAACAGGACTTGCAGGAAGCAGAATCTGTTCATAAGGGTCTAGGTCTACGAGTGACATTTTTTTAAAAGACAGTCTGTGTTGAAATGAAACACTATTCATCTTTTTTTTTGCTCCCCAGGGCACCTAATGAGAACCCACGACCTGTAATTTATACTTCAACAAGAATTTCGGACATCTGGGGAGGTTAGTGTAAGTATTAGAATAACTTGGGAAGGACTAATTGAGGATGCACACGATTTTGTGAGGTGTTAGGCCCTGATTAAATGCTCTTTACTGTGTAGTCACATTTTTATTACAACTTACATATGTTTGGAACACCGATAGAAAAGAAAGCATGTCATCTATTTACAATCACTACACATTTACATTATATTATTTACAGATAATGAATTTAGTAATATATATGAGCAGAAAATATAGCAAATATCAATATGAAACTGTACAGGGCTTAATCTCATGTCCTTTACTGTGGTTGCATTTCACTGTAATAATAAATACAGTTCTATATTTACAAATTTTACTTTAAAAATCTATTAAATGAATTTTAACAATTTCAAGTTTAAAATATTTGATCAAAATATTTCAAACATGCTTACAAAAATAAGACACAAAGCCTTTAGGACTTTCTGCAAGCTAAAAAAGTTCTGATAAAAGAAGCTTTCTTTAACTAGTCTTTAGAATTATAACATTATCTTGCTTCTCAAATCACTTTACAAACTTCTTAAATATAGCGAGCTGAAAGGAATTTCACTGACATTAAGCAGTGCAGCACAGATGGACCCAAGTTAAATTAAAGCTAAGTAAACATGGTAATAGGTATTGTGCAATGGTTGACTGATCCTCTGTTTAATCCAAAGTGGTTTCAGGCATCATTCTCCAGCTGTATGCTGCACTGCTTCAAAACCCACAAGAGATAAAGGATTAAGATAAGTACTCAGCTGACTTTATCGTACATAATTTCGGCATTGGTTCATTTTTTTTCCTGAAAGATGAACATGTCAGCCAAAGTCAACTGATGCCATCTGTAACTGCAAAACTAAAAATACACCAATGTGAGTGGACAAGAAAATCAGGGCATATCCATTGTTGGCAACAGATTCTTCATTGTGAAAATCCATTCTTGGAGTCCCAGGAAGTTACATATGCAGTAACAGATGAACAACCATGATCATCTGTAACTGATTACCTTAATTACTGGGCTAGGCTAACCTTGGTAATGTTTAGAAATTAGTCTCATTCACCCAGAAGCTGAGTGGCCATTAACCGAGAAGTGATTACTGGGCTATTAAATGTTACTCCTCAGGGAGCTATTTTTAACAACAACAACAAAAATCAAAAACTCTGCACTTCCGTGTCTTAAACGATCAGCTCACTTGAGCAAAAGGTTCCAGCTCTAAAAAAGGATGACTGGGATGTCCTCCGATGGCTTGACTAAGGTCAAAGACTGATCTTGGGGGAAGTGAAGGGAGCTCTGTTATCTGAGATATTTTGGCAGTAGAGTTGGCAGACTTGAAGTTTCTTCTCATCTAATTGCAGTCTAATTGTATGATGTCTAAATGTAAATGCCTTGATTCAGCAAAGTATTAATAGATTTAAATCCAGAGAGTAACTCTGTGTTAATCTAATCTAACCTACTCGTAAACTAATGCCATCAGGCATCCCTGAATACCAATAGCTGCTCCAATACCTCTTTTGGCAATACATCCAATTTGAATTTATACATATGTGATGACTGATAGTTCACCCCAAGCCATGCTAAATTGTTTGGCTTGCTAGTGACCATCACTGTCAACAATTGGTACCTTTATTTCTATGTCGTATATCTCTAACACCAACTCCCAGGGGTCCATACTGGATCCTTCTTCTCTCAACTTAGTCCTCTGCTCTCAAACTTCTTTTCCCAGAAGTCGCTACTTATGAACTGTGATCAAGTCACTTCTTTGATAAGTTGTTTTGTAAATTTATGATATTTGAATCCTTTTCAATTTCCCAGTCTTCTTTACAGCATGTGAATACAAGAACTGTCTGAAATATTCCAGTAGTGCCTGGACCAGTGCTAAGAACACAGATCATACAACCTCTTCTATCCTTAGCCAAAAGGATGCAGTGGCCTCTGAATCTTCATCTGACTAAGGACCATGAGCTAGAGGCTTTCTAGAAGCACTGTTTCACAGGACAGAGATTGTGCCATGAGCAGGACTACTGTTTTTGTTCCTTTCCTAGACAAATTACCTTAAATCATTGTTTTTATGTGAGTGCCTTTTGTATCATTTATTTGTACGCAGCACACCAGTCTTCCTGTATTCATGACTTGCTATATAGTGTTTCCCACTCTCAAATTCTGTGAGTCCCTCACCTACCAATTTTGTCAGCAGTAATTCTGAAAGTAATTCTACTGGCCTGCTAGCAATTCATGACCAGGTTCTGAAGAACCTCACTAGAAAAATATCCATGTGACAATGGCTTGCCATTTATGATTACATTTTAAGTGCTCAGCAGGATTTTAATTAATTTCTTTCACACCATATTATTCCTGTAGTTTTAGCTGACAATTTAAAAAGTCAAGGCATCTGACTTCTAAAAATTCCAAGCCTAAGAGCAGGTAAACTGTTAACTGAATTTTATCAGTTGAACTTGGAGCTTCATCAAAGTCTACTCTGCAGAAACCTTTAGGACTTCCAACAGGAATACTTTTCCACTTAGATACCCTGCTGAATGAGGGCCACACACGGATGCTTATAAAAACAATCTTGACACTGAATATCTATTATTAAGTTTGAATTATAATAAACAGGGAAAACAAAAACAAAAACCCAACCCCTGAAACAAACTCTGCCAGGTGAAGTAAAAGCTTACCAATTTAACATGGTATTTTTGCTCTTGACCAATTGCCTTTTCTGAGTAGTGCTACTTTAAAAGAGAGCAGCCGATACAACTGCACAAACTGCAACAGCTTTCATTTTCTTTCTTCATTCCAGCACTTCGGAGACAGGCCGTGAAGGCTCAAGTATTGGATTTCCAGCCTGCTGCAACTTTTGTCATCATCTGTTTTGTGATGCATGTAAAAATAATTCAGAGGCATTCTCTAGGTTGTAGAAGCACACCCATACTTATTTTTGGGATTAAAAAAATTTGTAAACATAGATATTTTCTGCATTGCCACTGAAACTAACGACATGGAACAAATGCTACTGATGAAAGATTGCAGCTTTCTGTCATTTGATAAGATGATGGCATTAGTGAATTGCTGGTAGGCATGTCGTATGATATGCTAGCACTTGTGAAGGTTACCAGTGCTTGTGTTGAGTCACAAGATTGTTTTTCTATGTCTTCTGAATTCACAGAGATCAGACTAGCATGTTTTGATCTCCTCCATAACAATGTTTGCTTTCGCAAACTTCCCAAGTCCTCCTTGAAGTGTGGATTGAAAAGTATATAAAGGAGTGGGTTTAGACACGCAGGCAGTGGGACAATCACTAGCAGTATTGACTTTATCACTTCTGGGCTGATAAAAGTGAGGTTTAGTAAGGAGGAAAAAGATAAGAAGGCCACAGGGCAATAAAGAATGCAATTAGTAAAAAGTAGCAAGGCTATATGTTTGACCATAGAGCAATCCCAAATGTTGTCTAGTTCTCCCTTTTCTAAACTGCAGTAGAGCTTTGTGTAAGCAACAGTCATTACCAGAAAACAAAGTGAGTTCAGCAACACCAGTGCTACCATGTAGCCCATAGCAGTGGGTTCTCCAAATGGTAATGGCAAACAAAGCGGAGAAACCCCATACTCACTCCCAGTGAGGAGTGGTATTATTGCAATGATAAGTGCCAACATAAAACAAAAGAAAATGGCAATTTTGACACTAGCAATAGAGGATTTTGTTTCAAACTTTGTAGCATGCTTTACGGAGAATGCACGTTCAAGTGCGGCTAAGGTGAGGAGGAAAATGGAAGCTTCTGAAGCAAAAATGGAGAGAAGACCAGTCATTTGGCAACCAATTCCACTTTCCCACTGTGCTCCATACTGAGCAAAGCTCCCAAAAGTTGATGCATCCACACTAGCCAGTACGCCACTGGAAAGGCCCATGAAGGCATTTACAATAGCTATGAGACCAATGAGAAGTTTTATGGAGGACATATACAACGGAGATCTGAAAACTGTAGCAGTCACCAGCGCGTTGCAAATGAAGGTCAAACCCACTATGGTCCAGACTCCAATTCTGATGAGCCAGCTCCCAAACAGGTGGTCACATGGTTTGAAGGGACCTGAAAAGACAAAAACAAACAAAAGGGCAAGGGAAACCCATGTAAACTAAAAATTAGTTTTGTACTTTGTAAAACCTCAGCTTTCATGCCTCTTGCAAAAGTTCTCAGCACAGCCAAGCAGTGAATTTTATTCTAAAAGAATAAAATTTCTTTTATTCTAAAGAAATATTCTGGAATTTTTCTCTTTCTTTGTAGTAGAGATCTCAATAATGTGCTGCTCATATGCATGTTACACGAGTTTTTGTTCCTCAACTCAAATATTATATACATACAGATATATATATATATTTGGCACATATATATGTGCCAAGTCTTGCCTAGTTGTACAAGTGCAGTATGAATACCATGGGTAATTTCTCAGGAAAGAAAAGGATGACTGTGCTAATGAGTCCTGGTGAAGTGTGATGTAATGGATATGGACAGATGCACTTTGGCTACCTAATAATATGTCATTACACAGTCCAAGTCCCCTTTGCAGTGTCTTTTCAGAAGACTGCTTTGCTCTTCATTTTCTCTGTTTTATCCATAATGATTCCAGGATATGACTCAAATGGCTTTGACCTTTGCAAGCCAAGCCTATTTTTGACATTCTATGTGTGAGGAAGAAAGTGCTTTAATGCATGTAGCATTGAAAAGAATAAGCGAAGGTGGCTTTTTAAACAAATTTATTCCAAATAAATTCATGATGCATTTTGTAATATTTTCTGTCAAGAATTTGGAATGGGTCCTTAAAGGCAAGTTGCACATATAGAGAAATCTTGGTGCCATCATTAAATTTGCCATCATCTCCACCATTCTCAGAGAAGTAATGGCTATCTAATATCCTATCTTCATACACAAATGCAGCATAGACCGTAGTGCTACAAGTTTGAATAGGGATCCAATATGATCTGAGATAATTCAGTTTAGAGTCCAAGGATAAATCTGAGCTTTTAGAGGAGATCAGGGTTCTTGAAGAATTTTAATGATAGAAGACTTGACACGTTTTAGTTTGGCTACGAACATAGTTTTTGGGACTAATCTATTTCAGAAAATATCCCCATAGTGGAATATTTAAATCTTTCATTTAAGATTCCAATACATTTTTCTGTTTAAGTTGACTATTAAGCTACACTGTAGGCAAGGAAATAGCATTGCAGAAAGTGAAATTTATTGTTTGATAGGCTGTTTGATACGGCAGTTCCAGAATGACACATTCATGAGATATGAAGATAAATGGGGAAGGTAATTTGAAGATAGGCACCAAATAAAATTGGATTGTCAGTTTTGTATTCTCTTGAGGTCAAAGCTGTGAGATAGGTTGTAAGAGGAGAAGGCTTATGTGGCTCATTGGTTTCATCATCTCAGTAGCCTGCAACAGTTTGTGACCCAAAGAGTTCCTAATCATAGAAAATTGAGGCTGTATTTGCATTTGTAAGGGCTGCCTTTTTGGAGGTGCTTGCAATGATCTTTGGCTGAAGTCAGGACAGTATGACTGAAGCCTGCTGTGTTCTCGTAGATTTGAGGTGTATATGCTGTGTGATTGAAGCTGAATACTCTGCTGTCTGAAAAACATAATTTATCTTAATACTAGTCAGCTGTGCTTCCTCAAAGCAAGTCCTCCACAGTGGTCTCTGATTGTCCATGCAGACACAACCCCAGCAGCTGAGATGTATTCCATATGACTACAGTTGGTGCCATCCAGTAGGCAGAAGTACCCATTGTGTCAGTTTGTAAGTTTTTCTAAGATAACCATTTGAAAGATCAGCATAGATTTTCTCTTAGGTCTGGTGATGACTTACCTTGAAGATGAGGACATTTCTGTGAACTTGATAGTTCCACAGGAGACCATAGGAGAATATGGGATGGTCAAATGTTTCTAAATTATTTCTTTGGCCTCCTACCTCTTCTATTTCTCTTGACATAACATCTTTTCATTTATTATTTGTTGTTATAAACAAGAATCTTGGCTTGGAGTGAGTATTGAAGTACTAGCTGTCACTTGCATTTTTTTGTTCATGTGTTACAATTTAAGAATGGCTAGGGAAACCGCTTGCTGAGTCAGGATGCTAAAACTAGAAGCAACATTCTAAGTTATTTCCTTGCCTTAAAGGGACCTTTCAGTGGAATTGGTTTCTGATTTAATCACTTAAAAAAACACAACACATGTGTTACTCCACAGGGATACGCTATTCTACAAAAAAAAAAAGAGAGTGCTGGGAGTCCCTTGTGATGGATTGTGTGTATGTTGATATAGTACTGTATGGTATGTCCTACGCATTGAACTGAACTGTGTGTTGTTGGAGAAGCTCAAGTGTAAAATAACTCAATGAAGTTGAGAAGAATTACTTCAGCTTTGCAAATGAATGAGCGAGCAAAGATTCTGTTCTATTATCCGTTTCTTGGCAGAAGAGAACCTTTTCTTTCCCATTCCCTTGATAAGGAGATCAATTCCTGTGGTAAGGGGCCTGGAGTGAGGATCTGCCAGAGGACTCCAAACTTCTGGTACATTCATAGATGAATTCAGTACCTGAATATTTTTCTGAACTTCAGTGCAGAATTTTGTATTTTTGTACAATGTATCTGGTCTCATCAAATTATTGCAAAACATAGCGTTCCTGTCTTTGTTTCAGATTCAGAGTTTGTTCTGCATTTCAAATATCTGGTAGTATTATGCTTAGATTCTTATGTATTTGGCAGTTTCATACCTGGAGAAGGTGAGCATTGCACTGAATGATGAGCTTTCAAATCTTCTTCAAAGTCAAGTAGAAAATCTTCAAAGTCACGCTCATCTGTGGGGGAGGAAATACCCAGATTTGATACTGCAATTTTCAGGAAAATTTCTTTTACTACAAACTCCAAAAACATCTTCGGTATTTAAAGCCTGTTCTCATCTCTTTGCCTGCCAAACTGTAAGCAGAAGCAGATGTATGCTTATTTGGTTTTGAATCACTTTACTCAAGATTATTTAAAAATTTGGCACTATTACTTCTCTGAAAATAATCACTTTTAGAAAGGTACATTCTCCATTACCTAATTTGTAGTGTGATGACTGCCTAGGAAGGGGTTTAAAATACAAATTCCACTGTTGTGTCAGGATACTAAGAATTAACCCAGGTTCTTTTATGTTTCTTGTGTCATCACTCTATGTATTCTTGGCTCTGTTCTTGCTGAGACTAGCCCTGAACTCTGGACACACTGGTTTGCAGGAGTGGAAATAGCAAAGAAAGAAGCAGGATGGTACAAAATCTATGTATACACTTACATAACAGGTCAAATAATGGACCTTGTGCTGAAGGGGAAGAAAAATACAGTGACCTTCTCTTCTTGAGAGCAGATGCGCTCTTTAGTACCCAGGAAGTGCCGAGACAAAAACCCAGCAGCTATGCCTAAGTAGCCACACTAGCTCTGTGATCCTGAAGCATGTACACAGCAGGATAGCCAAGAAGGTGTTGCTACTTCCAAGGCTGGCACGAAATTGAATCTTTGCTGCCCTATTATTTTATGGGTTTACATACCAGCACCACTTCCCTGTCTCTCAAATAAAGGGAAGATTTCACTTCCCATGTTATTATTTGGACAGATAAAAAGAGGGAGTGAGATTTTTGAAAGATAGACCTGACAAAATGAATTTGCTAAGCTTGGGAACACTGACATATTACCAGGCAAGAGAGAGGAAGGCACTGCCTTGGTGACTGCTAAAGAGTATTAAATTCAACATCACAGACTGCTTACTAGAAAAATCACAGCCTTCAGGTAGATTTAAAAGCAAAAGGTGACAATTACCTTGAATTTGTAACAACCCAACATCCTTCCTGTGAAAATCATCAATGCTGCTATTCTCATCTTTGTTCCATTGGCTGGAGATTTTGTAGTGGCTCTCACAAGCTCCAAAGGCACAGCACTGATAAGCATAAGGCATTTCCATGACTCTGTAGTAGAAGAACAAAGAAGCACGCCATGATACTGGTTTAGAGCACCAGAGTTACTCAATTGTACTGCTCACAGTTTCAATTGTTAGCACAAATGAACTTGATTAAGTAGCCATGATCGAAAGTCAAAACATTTAAGGGTAAAATTCAATCATGATGATATAAATGGAGGATTCACAAATAGAATTCCACACCAGACATGCAGATGATTTCTAAGGTAATTTTAGTAAAGGCACAGTGAAGCTTTCCTACGCATTTTCATGGGAGATATGAATGTAGAACATGAGTTGCAGTTTACTGAATGTTACTCTTAAGAGATCTGTTTCTTTTTGATGTCTTTTAATAATTTTACAGTGTAACTCAACAGTTTCTCCACATTACTTTCTTAATGGCTTCTTTTAAAAAAGGGCAAGATCACAATTTCGCCTACCTGCCTAACAGGCAAAACCAAAACTTCACTTCCCAAAGATAATTTTTCCAGTTTGGGGACAATGAGATCTAATTTTGGATTCAAACTTCATCTATCTCTTTTCACATCAAATTTCATCAGAGTAAAATGGCAAAAAGGAGATCGTCTTTTGTGCACAGACCAAGGAAGCAGTAGTCTACACTGAAAGGGGAATGAATCACAAATGCAGCGTATGTGAAAACAGATGTCACTGAAAAAAGGCTTTATTTTATTAATTCTCACAGGAGCGAGCACAGTCATTGCAGGACACTGCATGTTCATTCCTAACTCCTTTAATATCATTGGTATTCCTAACACAAAACTGAGTATGGGTGAGCGAGTTTCAAAGATTTTGAGGTTTTCTATTGCCAGAAAATTGCTGATTTCATGTATGTTTTGAATTCCATTCATTTGTGGATGTCCAACTTCTGAGGTAGTATGTAAGAATTACATACGTTCAACTTCTACAACTACTTCTTCTGTTCCTTGGATATACTTTGTGTTTTGGAAGTAGAGATATTTAATTTGCAGTTCCCCAACATTATATAGTAAAACCTAAAAAATCATCTCAATTTCAAAAGTTCAATAAACCAACAGCTTCAGAGATAACAGATGACACCAAGTTAGGTCCACGTGTCGATCTGCTCGAGGGTAGGAAGGCTCTGCAGGAGGATCTGGATAGGCTGCACCGATGGGCTGAGGTCAACTGCATGAAGTTTAACAAGGCCAAGTGCTGGGTCCTGCACCTGGGGTGCAATAACCCCAAGCAGAGCTACAGGCTGGGAGATGAGTGGTTGGAGAGCTGCCAGGCAGAGAAGGACCTGGGAGTGATGGTGGACAGTCGGCTGAATATGAGCCAGCAGTGTGCTCAGGTGGCCAAGAAGGCCAACGGCATCCTGGCTTGTATCAGAAACAGCGTGACCAGCAGGGCTAGGGAGGTGATCGTCCCCCTGTACTCGGCTCTGGTGAGGCCACACCTCAAGTACTGTGTTCAGTTTTGGGCCCCTCGCTACAAGAAGGACATCGAGGTGCTTGAGCGGGTCCAAAGAAGGGCGACGAAGCTGGTGAGGGGCCAGGAGAACAAGTCCTACGAGGAGCGGCTGAAGGAGCTGGGCTTGTTCAGCCTGGAGAAGAGGAGGCTCAGGGGCGACCTTATCGCTCTCTACAGATACCTTAAAGGAGGCTGTAGTGAGGTGGGGGTTGGCCTGTTCTCCCACGTGCCTGGTGACAGGACGAGGGGGAATGGGCTAAAGTTACGCCAGGGGAGTTTTAGGTTGGATGTTAGGAAGAGCTTCTTTACTGAAAGGGTTGTGAGGCACTGGAACGGGCTGCCCAGGGAGGTGGTGGAGTCACCATCCCTGGAAGTCTTCAAAAGACGTTTAGATGTAGAGCTTAGGGATATGGTTTAGTGGGGACTGTTAGTGTTAGGTTAGAGGTTGGACTCGATGATCTTGAGGTCTCTTCCAACCTAGAAATTCTGTGATTCTGTGATTCTGTGATAAATAGGTAACTAGGTTATTCTGTCTTAAAAAGAATAAAATAGAACTGTATCCTACTTTCAGGTTACTTTCAACAGGTTGGTCATGTAAATTAACATAACGAATGTTCCAAAGCAACCTTTAATGTCCTGGAAAATCCAGCAGGGAGTCTGTCTGAAGCAGGCCCAATACCAACAGGACTTGTGCACTAGCCAAAGGCTTGGTACAAAGTGGAACAAAGTGAACCCTAAGCTGTGAAGTGATTTTTAAGTTAGTGCATTTGGGGGCATTTGACTCTATATACTTATATTTCTGTTGGGAATTAGCAACAATAATCTGTACTCTTGTATCCAATACAAGAGGTTATGTAAGCCGTTTTTAAAGTACTCCGATAAAAGTTCAAGGTGACTAAGATCTAGCTATCACGCAACTTCATGCCAGCAGATTTAAATATGTAATTTCTAATTCATCTCCGTGCATGTCATCTTTTAAAATATGGAGATTATCCTGATTTTGTAAACATTTCCTAGAAACCCTTAAATAAATTATTACTAAACCCTTAGCTTACTAGACTATCCCATACCTAGTCACTTGGGTTGAAGAACAATGCACATACCCAACAGAAATGCCCCTTTTTTGACAAACACAAAGAAAATCCAACAAAAACAAACCACAAAACACCTTATAAAAAGAAATGCTGAAAGTTCTGCAAGGTGATGACTGCAACTTGTGGTGTCAGACTGATTTGAAGACATTGATAAAGCTGTGGAAATTAATAGCTTGCAGATATTTTAGGCTCAAGAAACTAAAGCGAATGTGTTCTTGAATAGAACATTTAAGTTGGAAGGAACTACCAGAAATCATCCAGCCCAGCTGCCTGACCACTTCAGGGCTAGCCGTAAATTCAGGCATGTTATTGAGGGCACTGTCCAAATGCCCCTTGAACACTGGCAGGCACGGGGCATCAACCACCTCCTAGGAAGCCTGTTCCAGGGTTTGGCCACCCTCACAAAGCGATTTTTCCTCATGCCCAGCCTGAAGCCCCTTGGCGCGGCCATCCACAGGTGTCCCAGGGTGCAGAGTCCCCAGCCACTTCCCTCACCGCTTGCCCTCCTTGGGAAGCTGCCAAGAGCCAGGAGGTCGCCTCTCAGCCTCTTTGTCTCCAGCCCAGGCAGCCCAAGGACCTCAGCCTGCCCTTACGGGACACACCTGCCAGCCCCACTACCAGCTTTGTCATCGTCATCACCTCAACACCCTTTTTGTATTGTGATTCCCATTTCTTATCCTCTCTGTAGGACTTTCTAGCATCCTTTGTTAAACCTGAACAGTTCCCCTCCACACTCCTACCCCCCCAGGTTACCAGGTTATACATATAGATCCCAAATTGGCAAATACTTCTGAATTTGCGTGTAAAGCACACATGCACAGAGTGAGTGGGATCAGAACATACTAGACAGAATATACTTTGCAATGCAGAGAAACTAGCATCAGATCTTCCTGGTGACAAGAGGAGTTCCTTTCAGCTAGTTTTAACATTAAGAAACAAAGGCAACTCTCAGCCATACAGTGCCAGAAACAGTCCTTTCTATGGCTAGTTTTATTTGATGTGGGTGATTAGATTTGGACTTTGTCAAATTAAAGTCTTGTAGAAACATCGTCTAAATTTATTTTTTATATACTGCTTATCTTACTGATGGTATCTGTACCCTTGTTTTTTTTTTTTCCCTGCAGCAAGGAATGCCTCTATTTCTGTTTTTAGATTAAGCAGCAGGGTACACAAGGTTGTTTTGCACCTCACAAAGGTGAACGGGAATGCACAGTTACAATGGACGGAGCTAGTCACTGAATTCTTTACAGCACTGAATCAAAGCATCAGATAAAGAAGGAAGGAGTGGTTGGCAGACTGACTTTATTTCCTCCTAGCTTGCTATAGCAAGCTGGGCTCGGCTCTGTGAGCATTCTTGTGCCATTGCTGGAGGTGCGGCAGAGGATGCTCAGCTCTTTGATGTGTTTGTGTATTGAACAGCAGTGACCTATTTAGATGAGCAGGCAGCTTTTGTACAGGAATTTGTCTTTAATGTTGTAACCAATGTCTAGTTCCAACAATTACAAAGGGTGAAATTACTTTTTGTTTTAGATCTCTGTTCAAGTTTGGTGCTTCATGTACTGTTTGTGCAGTGATCCTGTGTGAAGTCCTGGCTTCATTAAAATGTAGAAGTCCTACAGACTCCAGGTTAAGATTTTACCCCATTCTCTCCTGACTGGATATCATTTGCTCTTACAGATGTTAATCAGCTCTAGATATATCAGTCATACTTTTAATAACTTTTTTTAAAAAAACTTAAGCTATTGTCTGACATCCTTTTTAATTACTTGTGCAGAATAACTACACTGTAGTTGCATTTTAGCAATGTACATAATTTGGTGGAAAAATCATACAAAACATAACTTGATTAAAAAAAAAAATTAAAAATCTAACTTGTACCCGATTCAGTTGAATAGTGGATTATTCTAGGACCACTGCAGGATTTCTTATGCCATTAGGCTATGGTATAAATATTACTATAGATTTGCTAGTCTAGAATGATTGATTTTTTTTGTCTTTACACTCTTTTTAAGAAATTCAGGCATTTTAGAAGTGTCACTTGCCTCAACAGGTAGACAGTCAGTGAGAGAAGAAAAGCTGGCAGAAGCTCAGCCTCAGACATGCACAACTTTTTATGATACTTGCTTCTTGACCTCTGAGACTCATCTGAAGACTTATGTAAGGCCTCTAGTGCTTTGAACATTTGTGTTATGAAGTAGTTTCATATGCTGTGATCAAGTCACTGCCCAATCTCCTCTGTGACAAACTACAAACATTGGGTTTATTAAGTCTTTTAAGGCACTGTTTCCTAACCCTTGAACCATTTTTGCAGCTCTTCTCTGTGTTTATATTAACATACCATCACAGAAGTACTCTAGTGTGGATCCTTCCCGTGCTGTATGCAAACATTAAATCATCTCCCTACTTCTACTTATGACTGCCTTATTTATATCTTCAAACACTCCAGTCCTTTTCATCAGTAACATGTCTCCTTGAGTTGTTTGCCTATTATGACTTATGGAACTTCTCCAGTGCAAAAGCCAAATCAAGTGAGGATATGAGGATGGAGTCTCCTTCCTTGGAGACCTTCAAAGGCTGTCTGGATGTGGTCCTGGGCAACTGTCTTCGGGTGGCCCTGCTTGCGCAGGAGGTTGGACAAGATGACCTCCAGAGATCCTGTCCAACCTCAACCATTCTGTGATTCTCTCACTATGTTCACACTGTTTAATTGTTTCAAAAATTACAATATCTTTTACATTAAAATGAGGGAAAAATATATTTTGGAGTTGGCATCCTCCAACTAAAACATAAAATCAAGGGGGACTTAGGAGATACTCTCTAATATCCTGAAGTCAGAGGCAAAATGCTCTACTGTGACTTCCCTATGGTCATCCAGTGACTGGCAGAGCTTCAAATAATCTCTAGAGATTATTTCCTTTGTCTATCATAGAGCATCCATCAACAAATTATTAGCATCAAAGTATTTAAGTAATAACAGTAAAGTATTATCTTAATCAAATATTACAGGAAAGAAATAATGTTCATTTGTACTTGAAACAAAAATGGCAAAGTATTTTGGAACTTCAGGAGTATATTCTTGATATTTACTGAATTCTCACTAAATATAAGGGAGGTTCTGTAAGCACAGTCCAGTAGAAGGAGATATCACTAAGCTGCTAGCAATATTGTTTTAACAGCTTTTGAAACATATCACCAGGAAGCAGATGTGGCTCATATTAAGCAAGTACTGGGGTTAATATTTCAAAACACTTCATAGTTCTTCAGTTAAAAGTGAGCATAATAAAATAACTCTATCATTTTTATCATATTTGCTTTAGTTTTAATACCACAGATCAAAGACTGACAATACGAAGCAACATGCCTTACACACTGACACACCTTCCACTGCACATGAACACAAATGTGGCTTATTAGTTTTAATGATATACTCACTTGAGTTCTGGAAAATTTTCAGATGATATCAAACTTTGTAGGGCATGATTTCCTGTTAATTTTAAATGAGTTAAACCATGTAGCCCCGTCACAGGAAAAGAGGACAAAAGGTTGGATGACACATCCCTGCATAACAGCAAATAAAAATCAGCTTACAGGTTCTCATTTTTTTCTTCAGTGCTAGAAGAGTCATGTTGGAAAAACAGAGTATACTATTCTAAATTGATAAAAATTGAATACATTATAGAGGCCCCAGTCAGCAAAGCAAAGCTGCAGCAACACCTAGGAGTATACACCTATGTTTCTAGCACAAAGCTAAGGGTATATACCTAGCACTTCACTAAGAATAATCTTTGTTGTCAAATTTTGACTCCAAGAATTAAAATACAAGTTTAGAGACCATCAAATGAGTTTAAAAATAATTAGAGTATTGAATTAGAGGGAGCCAATACCAGAACAATTTCCCCCCACCCTAAAAAAAATCAGTGGAATACGAGAGAGCATGGCTGATCTGAAATCTACACAAGGAGGAGCTCAGGTGTATGAGGAGGAAGTGTGTTTTAGAGGAGGACAGGTTTGGGCTGGAGAGAGTGAAGGTGATACTTCTATGCTAAGGTTTGTCTGAGGAGCTGAGAAAATGCAGATGAATACAGACACATGACTTGGCAAAGTAAAACAGGTGAATGACATAGTGACTGTGATCAAGGAGATATGGTAAAGTAATCAAAGAGAGGGAAGTTCAGATGTATTCTGTTCTCTATTACTCTCCCTCCCTTCCATTTATTGTATAAGTCTTTTCAGTTCTCTTCATACTAATCTAAACTGCAATATGTAAGATGGTTAATGCTCAAAAAGGAGAAAGAAGGGGAGTCCGATGCTGCTGAAATGTTTTTATGCTCAAGTGTGGATGGTAAAGTTCCTGTCTCTAGGACAATCTAAATTTAAAGGTCTAGTCTTAAAGTAAGAGGTATGTTGATTCACTGGTCTTCTACATTTTCTGGTATTGTGTTTGTGCATGCGTGTGTCCCACTGCTCACAACACAGTTAAATACCAAAGGTGAAATTCTGGTCCTGCCGAAAAGGCAAAAACCACCACTGACTTCAGTCAGTCCAGGGCTACAGACTAGCGTTGCAGGTAACACTCAGTACACTGGTTTAGTCTGTGTGTTCAAAGGCTTTTTTTCTTTACTTCTGTGTGACTGTTTGGTACTGTTGAACAAATGCAGAATTTATTGCTGGCAGCATGATGTTCCCTCACCCATTCCTCTCCAAGAAAGCGCTGAGGAGGAACCCAAAAAGGGATGCCATAGACAATATTCTGCTCATGGAGATTTTGCACCATTCAGAGGGGAGGTTTCTTCCATTAACAAAATTTTTTTTCCAAATGCATGTTTCCCATGACTAAACTCCAACTACTGGATTATCTGTATGTCTTTGTGAACAACTTTGGAGTAGGATGACTCCAGAGGAATTTTCTTTCATGTCTTCCCCACACATCCACTGCCTCAGGGATTCACCTTGACGAGGTATTGTAATGACAGTGGGAAGCAGGAAGAAGTTTTTAAAGACAGAGATGCCTGTGAATAAGGCATACACAATTTGGATTCTGATGTTTTGACCACTAACTTCTCTGGCTGAAGTTACTAAGGAAGAAAAACTATTCCGTCAAAGAAGAAGCAGTGAAATAAAGATGCTTACTGGAAAATGTTTCTAATTTCATTTTGAATCCAGATCCCTAGTCTTGGTATAGGACTAGTAAGGTATCTGTATCGCTGCTGATAGAGACTGAACTACTAACAAATGCAGAGAAGCAAGGCAGATAGACTGACATGTTTCTTAGAGCCCAAATCACTGTGATTACGCTCTGGTACATGACGCTTCACCATAATACCTATGGGAGTTAGTGAAGTACAAGAAAACAGACATATAGAAATGGATTCAACAGATCAGAAGATTAGAATACAGAAAGCCTCAAGTTCTGCTGAGTGGGGCACCAAGTTACAAAATTTGCATGTTCTTGCAAGAAAAATGTGAAAATTTAAATGTAAAAGACATATAAATACTTACAGTTTGATCAGAGATGGTAAAGAAGAGAAGGCATTGGGGTGAATAATTTTAATTTTGTTCCAAGCTAAATCCCTACAAGAAAAGTGAGTAGAAAATTACATACCCGCTGAGTGAATATGGAAGTTTTCATACACTTGATTAGGGTGCCTAAATATAAAAAAGGTATTAATTACATGCAAATATTTTCAATAAACTTCTACATATCTCAAACTGCAAAAACTTTTTACATTTTTTTCAAATTATGTTAGTCAGTTAATGGTGTTAGTTACTAAGGTGACAACATTCTCTAAAACTTAATGACTTTTACAATCCAATTTTATTGTTTTCAGCCTGCTTCACTGTTTCCCAAAGCAGCAGAAAGAGGAGTGGTGTATATGGACAACTTTTAAGAGGCCCTTATGACATGACTAGGAACAGCAAATCCATTGTCAATAGGCTTAATTTCTTAATAACAATCTTCACCACCCCTGAAAAATAATAATAAAGAAAAAAAAACCTGCAAGTAACTAATTTTTTTTTTTTTAAAATGATGGGTTTAATTCTTCAAAAACTTAAAAAAGTAAACACTTATCAAAGTAATTTCCCAACAAAATTATTCCACTGTCTCTATGTGAATACCAGAAACACATACAAGTTTGAAATCTATTTCTTATTGTTCTTCTTTATAGAGAACAGTGTTCTCTATAGAGATTTCATGCTCCCTAGAGATGATTCTTACGTGAACCTGCCATAGATGCTAGTTTTGGCTCAGGATCTCTCTCCACTTCTGTCAGAAATGTTCACAAGTAACAACAGCTTTTATAGCTGGAAGTTACATCTTTGAATTCATTGCTGCAGATGCTAAGCTTCACAGTGTTTATTCTGCTTTCACAGTTATGACTTAACGGATGAAAGATCAAAGCAAGGAAAAATAGAAACAAGGATGTTTTGGGGCAAACAGTGGACAGACATAGATAGCCCCATGCTTTTGAGAACTCAAGTGAACCACTGCTTGGGCTGTACTCACAGAGAACGAAGAGCAGCCAGCTGCCGAAATGTGTCTGCTTTGATTTCATCAATTTCGTTATGATGCAAGTCACTGAAATAGCAATAAGAATTTCCTTAGTTTACAAGGCACCTGGAGGATACTCCACCATATTTTAGACTATTTATGATCCACTTTGGTGCATTGTAAGGGTATGTATTTGGGATATGTCAAATTGTTCAGCAGTAACCAAATTAATGATGCTCAAGCAAATTTGTATACAGATGACTCTTGTTAGGCATTTTAGAATAGTTTGAAGCTTACATTTTTTGAAGTTTTTTACATGCAGTAAAACAGGGTAAATCTTCCAGCAGATTATAAGACAGATCCCTGTAATACACAAGAGAAGAAAAGATTAATATTTAAAGTAACGTGAAAAGAAAAAGATTTCCTTTCCTTGTGTCTCTTCATGCTCAATTTAAAATAGCTTGTTTTTACAGGAGAATAGAAATGAGTGGACTCAGTTATCATCTCTCATCTGTCAGATTTTTATTTCTAACTGAGGAGGAGATATGAGGGGAAAAGGTAGGATGTATTAACTCCATATCCTACTTCTGCAAATTCCTTGCATTGTCTGACAATTTCCTGCCTGAAGCATGGACTTCTGAGTGTTTTACAATATCAGCAGTCTGCTTCAAGGGAGTACTGGCTTTGCATCACAGACTTCATGTTCATCATGTTTAACTTGACAAATATTTAAACCATTTTAAATGATCTATTAAATACACATATACATATATGTACTAGATATTCACATTTTGTCAGAGAATATCCTATATTTTTCTGGCAATAATCACAATGAACTGTAATCAGCTTTCCGTTCTACACTTTTAATTAAGCAGTATTGCCTCTGATCCTTAGAACTGTTATGTCTTATAACTGAGTGATGTGGTTAAAGATATTGGAACTAACTTTGAAATCAATCACTACATGGGAGAAAAAAACTCTTAAAATGACTTGAGCCAAAACTCAACAAATTACAGAATAACTGAAACATCTGGACTGATTTATAGTATAATCCAACTAATCAGAAACAAGCCCAGGCAATTTGCAGAAATTGGAGGGAAAAAAAAAAAAGGAAAAGAACCAAACACCCCTCCCCTTCCCACTCTCAATAGTTTCATCGTATATATACATCTTGTTTGGGGAAAACTGAATTGGAATTTTGCTGGTGGAAAGAATATAGAGTAAAAGCTTATACCTATAATTACAAAAAAATGCCATTTTTTTCACAATTTTAAAATATTATCAACAAAAAGAGTAATCTGTTATCATTCCTGCTTCAAATCCTTTAAAACTGGATCACATCTACCCATTTACTTTCTGGAAAAAACAATTATTTTCACAATTGCTATTCTGATAGGAGCATTTTGTCAATTCTATATTTGACTTGTAAAAGTGGTGCAAGTAATGACAGTGTGTTATTTTAATGAATTCCACTCTGTTTTACTGTGCACAAAGGCTACCACTAATAAATACATATTTCTGTAACAGCAATGTTACTGCCCCTAATTCTGTGCTCTTCACTTGTACTCTGTGGTCCAGATCAGACATGCCAGAGAGTTCAAGTGAGCTGGAAGCTACCAAGGCAAGGTACAAGATATTTGAGGATTTTTTTTCTCTTTGTTAATAAATAAGACTCTTGGCAGAAGCAGAGGGCCAGGAGTTATGGCTCTGTGTTGAAGTGTGTATCTAACTGTGCTGAGGGGAATCTACCTTTGCAGATATACCTCTACTGCAGGTGCACCCGGGAAGTCTCTGTGTTTGTTCATCCACATTTGGAAGCACTGGTGGCTAGGTAGGATAAACAAATTGACTTTCCAAGCAGTGCTTGTAGGATTTGTGTCTCAGAGTGGGGTGTTCTGCAGTAACTGAGCCAGGAGGCTGCTTTAAAGGTCACTGTTTCCAAGGAACTGGTTGGGTTCAGCACACCCTTATACTTGGTGCAGGCAAAACTCATCTGTAAACTTAAATGTGAACTTGGGTACACATTGTAAGATGTGGCATGTTTGTTCCAGTCTGATGGGAATGGGGAAAAAGCAACTCTGCGTACATGACATAGCTGTCAAACTGGTTCCCTGCCCTTTTAAATGTCAGCTTCAATAACATTGGGTGATACCTGAAAATAAAGCATGTGAATGTTCAGTGGAGGCTTCTGCTCTTCCATGAACTGTACAATTTATTAATTGCTACTGTATTTATTTGCCTTCCCTTTAGAGATTATTTATTGTTTTTGAATAATACAGGGCATATTCAAAAGAAAGTCTGTGCAGATTTCCTTCTGGCAACAGAAGGAAATTCTGTCTTTTATCATTCTGGAAATGATTATATTGAATCCATCAACTAAAACTTAATTTTTCTAGAAATGTTCATGACATCCAAGCTGGTATTCAAATAATGTGTTATAATTAGTGTTATTTTAATGTTGGCCAGAGAAGCAATATCAAATGCATTCCTAGTGATGTAATACATAGAGGAAAGTGCTGTTGGCTGAATCTCAAAGAAGCGGACACAATGATTACTTTCGTTAGTGATTAAGCAAACTCCAAGGACATATCCAAGCTAAAACAATATTGGATATTTGGTATAAGAAGTATGCCCCAACTATGCCAAATAATAGTCTATTAAAATTTCACTCAACTACTTATGTGTGTTTGGAAAAGAAAATAAAAGAGAAGCATAAAAAGTACTCAAAGCTAAACTCCTTACTCAGTTATATTTTCCATTCACTTCACTGAGTTATCTGCCTCAGAAAGAAAAGAAAACATTATGGGAGACATAGAATGAATGAAAGTAAGGCCATGTAAAATAGCTCTATGGCTTTTAAAAGAAAATCAAGAACCATTTTAAGCTGACCTAAAAATATGAAAATTAATTATCTTTTCCAACAATGTGTGGGAAATCCTGAATGGTAGATGGACTGTGAACTTTTGGAGGCTGGTATTTTTGAGTAACGTGGGGAATTGCTCCCTGCTCTGAATTCTTAGGCAGTTAATGTGATACACAGAAATAGCAGCGACTGGGTAATTTCAAAATCATATTGATTTTGTTTGTTCATTAATCTTTTCCATTACTGTAATGTTATTAATCTTACTGAAACGTACAGAACTTGGAGATTAGGTAACTGGTCACAAGCTGATTTGGGGAGAGAGGTGATCTGTGCTCCTGTGAGGGTCCTGTTGAGAACATTTATAAAAAACATATTATCTTTTAGAAATTGTAAAACAATTTTTTACAACATTCTTTAGAAAAAAATAGTATCCAAAAATATAAAACAAAGAAAAAATATTGCTTTAGCACTTACAAACTCTCTAGACTTGTAGTCCCAGTCAGATCAGGAAACTCTGTTATCTGTGAAGCACCATTTAAAGTCCTAGAATTTAAAACATCATTTCAATATAATTGTGGTGAATGATGTGTGGGACAGCTCTAACACTGCAACATATAAAGACAATTAAAACAAAATTAAACACATACAGAGTTCTGAGTTCTGGTAGGTGTTGAAAAGCAGATTTTCCAACAAGCTGGATAGGGTTATCATAAAAATGTCTGCAAAAAGAGAGCAAAAAAGACATTATAATAAATATTTTAAAGGATTCAAAACACATTACATGATTATATTATATGCAAGTGAGTATACTCTGTATTCCCAGCCACAGACTTGGTGCACCTCCAGGGGTTTCCTTACCCACTAGCCTAAGTCCATCAACCATATTTTGAATACTGAAGTAGTCTGTCTCCTTGAATTTAAAACCAGAAGCCTGCCCCCAAAAAATAATCTCCTCTTTCTCCCAGGTTTGCAAACATTGAAATCCAAAGATGAAGAACTTCATTATGACATGAGACAAAGTTAGCAAGTGAAGTCAGAACTTCACACACTTGGATGAGGTTGACCATCCACAGCATTTGAATTCCACTGCATTTTTGAAGCCATGCTGATTTTGCTCATAAAATAACACCGCTCAAGATGAGTCGCTATTTTTCTTAAATTTGTTTTACAATTTCTTAATCTGAGGTTTGCCAGTTCTCATGTATTCTCATGTAAAACAACATGGGAATTGAGACTGGAATCCATCAGGATCAATTTTTGCTATCTTCTACGTTGCCAGTAAAACTAAGAGACCTGTAAGGAATAGTTCAACTGAAAGGCCAAGGCTAAGGCAGCAGTACTCACTTCCTTTAAATAGGGTATGCAAACTGCTACTGTTTCCATGAGGTTGGAAAGATAGAAGCTTGTTCGCTTGCATTATTGTATGTTACACTCACAAAATGATCTAGCAGACAAATAGCCACAAATATGGTGTTTAGTTCCACATGCTCTACCAGGAAGAGTCACTGAATAAACTGTTATCACTTACATTGTAATAAGTGATGGATTACCCACAAATGCACGCTCGGGTATTGATTTGATGTTATTGCTATGAAATCCCCTACAAAAGAAAAAATGGTTTACACAGTAAAGAAAAAATTTGTGAAGGCACAATCTGTATTCACAATGCATATTGTTTTTTGTTTGTAATAAGGAAAGTGTTTGTGTGTAAGGGTATATCCTTGTTTTCTGGGGTAAGATAGAACTGAAAAAGCAAAAGCAAAAGAAAAGCAAAGAAATAGCTAGACTTCTGCACTTTTCTAAATGAGAGTGCCATTCAGATAAAGTAAACAACAAAATGGCATTTTAAAATTAAGATGTTCACAGCAGGAAACAGTACTTTGTAGCTGTATGTTATGTATGTATGAATGTATCTGTATGTAATGTAAATATACACACATGAAATAATACAATTAACAATGAAATATTGAAAATAAATAAATATCAATAAAACAGTATATATACATCCCCCTGTGCTTGTTAAACTGCAACTATTTTTTTTTTTTCTGAGATAATAATGAATTACACAAATTTGTCAAGTAAATGATTTTATACATTATATTGTTAAGTCTCCCACAACCAACTTTCTGTTGAAGTATTTTAGATGTGGACATGAACAAACTATCCTATGTAGTTGTGACTGCTGGATAGAGGACCAAATCTTTGTCTCATCATTAATCACTGGATTTTATTCATATGAGTAATTCTCCATTGTGAAAAACAAAAGAAACAACTAAGGTTTCAAAAGAACAATGATGATTTGTGTGGGAAACTCCCATTAGTTCAGTCGGGTATGAAAAAGGCTTCCCAGATTAAATTTATACATTTAGAAAGCCTCAAATTGTTCACTGATGCAAGCACACTTGGTCATTACTTGGACAGGTCCCACATTACTGGTTTCACTTGTTTAGTCATCATGCTACTGCTGATGAGACGCTGCAAGGCTCTGAATCCCTTGTTCTTCTGCATGCAATAAAAGCTGCATCCATACAGATGCAGAATCCAAGCAATATGAGGATCCCATTTCATCTAGGGCCAGCAAAGACACTGGTTTTGTGGCTGTATTGACTGGGATTCCCTGCATGGCACAAAAGCTTAGCAAACGGCATGAGTACTTCCCAGGGCACTGTCTAGCCCCTTATCACTACTCTGACTTCAGCCAAGAGCAGATTTTGGTGAATTTCTGCAAAATAGGGTCTACAGAGCTTCTGAGCTTCTTGGAAGAGATACCATGCCCTGTGGCACTGCTCACCAGTGATATACCCTGCTCACCAGTGGCGACCTCCTCCAGAGCCACACTCCTGACTAGCATGGGAGATACCAAGCTGGAGTCAATGCTACCTGAGGATTCCCTGCTTTGGAAAAAAATCCCAGGTCGCTACTTAAAGTGGCTTTATCATCATCTTGCAATGCAACAGTGCTACAACTGCGTCCAATTGCTATGTTACCTAGTTTTTGTAAATCTCTATGCTGATGGTACCGGTAATGTGGTAAATACTTCACATGGAAAGAATTCTGAACATACACACCGTTGTGTACATTGTGTGTACAACGTGTGAATATTTCATTCATTCTTTTACAATTCAGCTGTTTCTTACAACAAACTTGACTGGTTTCTTTTCATTGTTGACATTATTTTACGGAAACTATGTCTGTGCATCCAGAAGTGTTTTGTTTACAACGTTACAAAGGAGTATTTACAGTGAAAAGAAATTGTTTTAATTTAATGGTGCAGGAGGGATGGCAGATAGCATCTAAACCTGATTGGCCAGTAAGAGTGCCATGTTTTTTTTCTTAGACTATCAGATTGTGTTTTTTTTTGGATTGCTTGAAAAAAAAACAACTGTTGTGTTTGGAACTTGAAATGAATTAATTGTGTTTATTATTCACGGCATTCCAACGATGAAGTTCCTGAAAAAAATCTACTGTACAATGTAGTATAGAAGTTTTCAGAACTTGTATGCTCTAAACTGTATGCTGAGAATTATCTTTTATGCATGTTGGCATGTTTATTGGTTCTTCCTAGAATAATGAGTTTTTAAGGATTACTGATAAAATCACCAGCATTAAAAAAGAATCAGTCACACACTAGACAAAACATCCTCCTTCCTAATATAAGTGCTGTACTTCTGTACTTACAATTCTTTTAGGTTTGTTAGTGTCCTGATAGCAGTGGGGAACTCGTCCAGACTGTTGTAATTTAGATCTCTGTGTGAAAACAGATTGTATTATTGGGGTTATGCACTGCATTAAGGATAACATAGACTTGTTAGCATTTGTAACTAAATATCATCTTCCATTCATTGAATAAGTACATACAGGCAAAAGCCAATTAATCCTCAGAAGTGTATGGATGTTTTCTAACAGACTCTATTTAGGGCACATTTTCATTCCTATTTTTCTATCAGCATCCTATTTTCAGTTGTATTCTATCTATTCAGCAATGAAAAAGCCAAAAGTGGATTCAGATGCTACTAATGGATCTGCTCTTTTGTAAATCACTTATTATAACTTGGAAATTATCAACAGAAAAAATAAAAACCAAACCAAACCAAAACAAAACTCTTGCCCGGAATATTCAAGAAATTTGCACGGTGAGCTGAATTTTATGCAGTTAATACATCTCTTTATTAAGGTTTCATTTGCCTCTGACTCACTTAGTCTTTCAAGACTTAGATTTAATTCTTGAGTCTTTCTTTCATCTGATGCACTTTTCATGGTCTGTGAGACCAAGAAATTGGAGATACTGGAGTTTGGAAGGTAAAAAGAAATCTTCCTCTGACTAAAACAAGTGGGAAAACATACAGTTAGTTCAACTTTATCATTAACTGTATAGTTAATTTTAAGCCTTGGCAGTGTTCATATGGAGAATGTTTCTAACCACACACATTGTAGGAACAGTAGTTTAACTAGGGTAGTAACCTCTGCTTTAAGAACTGCTCATGCTGCAGTGGCAATTAGACTTCATTCTGGTAAACTGAATGGTCTGTTAGCATACTTCTGCCCTGAGCATGACATGTGCATCCTTCAGCGTTCAGGAGACACCTGAAACTAAAATTGAGATGTGCCTGTTTAGTGCGATGCTCCCTGAGTACTGCTTTGTGAGGAATGCCATCTGAAAAACTTGAGTAAAAGCCTTTTTGAATGGGCAAAACACAAATCATGGTTTACAATAGATTGAAATTGAAATAGTATCAGGCTGAAGTAATGCAGGCAGGAAACTGCTGTCTGAACTCAACAAGGCTTTCCTTCCTGCTTGTAAATCTCTCTCTCCTGCTTATTGACAAAAAGAGATTACAGGCGTGTACGGTTTGGTTTTGCCCTCCAGTGATATGTGATTTCCAGACCTATGCGTTGATGCAAACAAATGATTTTAAAGCTGGCGTCCATCGTTTACACTGAGATCTCTTTAGATTAGCTTGAAACTATCTGGAAACTGGTCTATACAGTACACAATTACTGCACTTGGGGCAAGTGCTGCATTCTCCTATCACAGCAAAGTGGCTGCACCTACACATATTCCCAGGTTCATGATTGTCCTGTGTGTTTTTGCCTCTTTCATGCCAGGTGGCTGGGACTGGCTTTGCAATTACTTATTCCATTGTTCTTTTTTTCTCCATTTTTGACCAAGTGCCATGTGAATCTCATTTGTAAAAACAAAACAAACTATTACATTTTCCTTTTTCCTTTCCTGTCCCCCTTTCCGGTGCTACACTAAGGGACTTCCTTTCAACTCACAGCAGGCTAAAAATCAAAACTGTAAAACTGCAATCCAGTTTTAAGGGATCGATACAACTGAAACCAGGGATTCAAAAAAAAAAAAAAAAAAGGCAAAAACTTCTTGTTTTCTTATCTTATGAAAGTACAAAAATGAGCAGTACACACTTCTGTGGATGATAAAGAAAATGGTTACCCCTAGACCAGCATTATTCAGTTTTGATACTTTGCTTCTCAAACCAGGCCTTTTATGCTCTGCTCTGGTTGGTTGAAATCTCTAAAATCTCTGGAAAGGATTCAGCTGAGTGCAGAAAGTGGCAGATGGAAAGATATGCACAGGTCTACTGTCCCTGTAGCATTTTTGGGTTCCGTTGTCTGCTCTAGCAGACAACATGTTCACTCATCTATGGCAAAAACTTGAGGCAATTTGAATCTTTACAAGCGCTGCTCTTTATCAGAGCTCTTTAAAGACAAAAACGGATACAATTGAAATGTTCCTCTCTTCCCTTGCAAAACATACATAACTTGGCTGTTTGGCACTTTTTCTTTTTCCAGGGATAGAAAAATAAAATCCTCCTCTACGATGAGACAGTTTCTTAATGGTAAACATTTCCATTGAGACAGTTTCCCAATCTAGCTATTAGCTTTATTGATTGAACAAGACAAATAAATAGTACTAATCTAGGCAAACATAATTGTTCATGAATAGGCACTTCTTTTTGAATGCCCAGTACAGTTCTCAAATGTCCTTTCAACAATTTATCAACAATGATTATTAAAAAGGCAAACTAATTTAATAGTAAAAAATAGGATTTGCTGTATAGAGTCATTGTAAACCATCATTTAGATCCTGTAGCGATTAGGCAAGCCAAAAACCACGTTTAGCTTTTAGGCTATTTTTTATTCTTTCAGAATATTAATGAAAACACTGAAAAAAAGAGGAAACAAATAAGAGGTCAACTCACAAAGTCTCTAGGCTGTGGAGCCCATCAAAGCATTTCTTTCCCAGGGAGTAGATTCTATTGTTATGGAGATGTCTGCAGGGGAACATTAAGCACACAGTCAGGAAAGCACACTACACACAGTGGACTTAAGCAAAACATTTTGATGCTTCAATCAAAAGAAACTTATTTTCAGGCATGCACTGATTCTATGCAAGTCATGCTTTTGCAAGAGCATGTAGAGAAGGCACCTTCGCCAACCCTTCCCCCTTTCTCCTGACATCTCCGCACCCATGAGGGCTTCAATTTCATTCCGTACATGGGATTTCTTTTACAACCACCTAGATGGTCTAAGAAGGGTATATCCTGAAGGTCTAGGATGAGGTTTGCATATTAAATACTGTGAAATTGGAGACATATTCTCACCAGTTGTTAACTAACATGTTGCCTTAAGAACTGTGGGGAGTGTTAGCTGTGTTAGCGGTATATATGGAAGACGTATATTCAGGGGGTGTTAGAGAGGATGGCATAAAGCAGGAACAGGTGAGGAGAAGGATAATCAAGCAGAAATAGTCATTAGCCTTGCAGAATGAAAGAAGACACAAAGCCACAGGACAAGAAGTCATAGCTTCACTGAGATGAGTAAGCTAATCAGTCTTCAAAGCGCTTTAACTTGCCTTCCTTTGAAACTATAAAAACCAACAGCTACGTTCTCATATTTTCAGCAACTGAAAGAAACAGTTGCATGTTACGTTTCAATCAAAACCATCCATGTGAGGGCTGGTAATGCTGCCTATTTCTATGGTTTTTAGACTGACATAGAAAAAAAAAATCCGTGTGAAGCTCATTAATGTGAGTAGGTAGAACTTAGTGATACTTCAGATTGATTTCTAAAGAGGATGCTTTTTTTTCCCAGCAGACCTTTATTTTATTCTGACACTCTGCTCTCATAGTGGAGGGAAACTATGAGAGTAGCACTTAAAAGAAAAGAAGGTCTGTGAATGAGGAACTGCCAAGCACATACCCTTCAATGCTTCATTCTGCTCTGAAAATAATTTTAAAGACCACAGAGCCTCCAGAAGTTGAGTCTCCCTGTCCATGAAAAACAAGGTTTCTAATGGCAAAATACAGATGTTTTGTGGGTTTTTCTTTTCCTGTGAAAAACCTAATCATTTTTTTTAAAATGACTACACTGAGCTGTAATGCTCTAGTTAGCATGAAGAGTGTCTACAAATTCCAATTATGCTTGGATTGCTAGTGATCGAGCTTCAAACCTACGCAAAATGAACATGCATATTTGCAAAGAGTAGAAAATTTGCCAGACTGAATAGAGCAGGAAACAAATGAAAACAGAACCACACAGGAAGATTTTGACAGGCCAAAAATATCAGATATTGTAGATCATGAAGGATAATTCAATTATTAATCAATACGAAGACCAGAAGACCAGAAATAAACAGGGCAGATGTAAAATAAGGGAACCTAAGTGAGCTGAAACAATGAGGGAATCAAAAAAGGCCATTTTCTTCTGGATTTCTTATCTGTCCTCATATCACTGTAATTCTGTTGTGGATGTAGAGAATGGCATTGAAGACATTTTCTACCTTAAGCATTACTGAGATGTTTAGCTTGGTTAAATGACTCCTTAAAAAAACTTTAACTTGAATGAGACTGTTACTTGATGTAAATAGAGGGCAAAGACTGTGTGCCCAAGGCAGCTATTATCCCCCTATTATTGGTGCATATATTAGGCATGATGTAGAGATGGTGATTATAAAGCTCAATAAAGAACCCTGAAGAATGTCAGGTTCCATGCTCACACTGGGGTTAGAACATGCTAAAATATGCTAAGTGTCTTACAGACTATGGTTTCAGACAGCCTGTAAATCTTGAATATATTATTCTCTCTTTAATAATTTTAAGATTTTCCAAACTATCCTGAAATAACTTCTCCCCCTCAGTCTCCTCCTCAGTTTCTCCAGCCAGTCTAGAATTTTTTCCATTTGGTGCATTCCCAGAAGATAAAAAACTGAAACCATGTTCCAGAGTATTCCTTCCAGATTTTGGTGTGGGTTTTGCATCTGTTTCATTTAGTTGTATTGGTATGCAAACATATCTAAATACAAACCTACATATACTTTCTATGAAGGGAAATACATAGTTTCTACTGGACAGCATTCTTTCCAAGTCACCCAGAAAGCTTTCTGTTCATTTCCTTTTTCTAATCTTCTCTCATTCAGTACATGCTGCTTCGGAGTCTTAGAAGGCAAACAGTTCATCTGTTTCTGTTTGTTTTGCTGACCAGATATGGTGATTTAAAAAAAAATTCCCTTACATAGCTCTTTGCTGGAGACGGAAACTTTTAAGCTAGATCAAAACAAGTGATTTACAAATGTGAGTTTAACTGTAAGAAGATGTAAAAGATATGCTTCTCTAAGATATTTTTTTCTTTCAAATTTTGTTTTATAGTACATATGCAAGCCAGAAAACTTAATTTGTATTCCAAAAAGAACATTTTCTGTAAGAAACAGTATTGACCTCATGGTAAAGGAGTATCGTCATTAAGACTCACGCAAAAGTAGAATGGAACTGCAGCTTTATGGCCCCCAAATACATCAGTTTAATACTAACACTGAAAGGCAAAACTGAGGTTTAGTTGACCCATGTATATAGCGATTTACCTGTTGTTTACCAACTAGGGAGAGACTAGAGGAGTGTTAATTATTAAAGGTTTTCTCAAGCAATGCTTAAATTAAACATTGCATCTTCAAGCAATTTATCACAAGGAGGTCAAAGCTCTGCAAAGAAGCAGAGATTGTGGCTAAAAAGCAATCGATAAAACTTACAGAACTACCAAACTAGAGAGGTTTCCAAAAGCATAGTCTGGTATGTAATGAATTTTATTCAGTGCCAGTGTCATTGCCTGAAGTGCTGGTAAACTTCTAAAAGCTTGGACGGGTATTTCTGTCAAAGAATTATCATCTAGCCACAGGTGTCTAAGGGAGACCAAGCCATTGAAGCAGTTGGGGGGCACATAGTTGATGTGGTTGGCATCCAGGCGTCTAGGAGAAAAAGAAATAAAGAAAATTGACTCCGAGAAAAGAACAGTGGATTTACACAAGAAATTATCACCAAGAACACAAGGATAGGTAGGAGTTGCCACATCCATCTTTCATTTCCTGGAGATTCTATTTTTCCTTCTTGCTTGCAGCCTTATCTGAGACCTCATGTGGTGTTCCTAAGTCTCCTGGTCAGTTGGCTTGCTGCAGACAGCTCTCCTTTGGAGCCGTCAGTTCCCTGAGAGCACAGACTAATCACTTCTGAACAGATCCTCTTTGTGGATCAGGCATGAATTTGTTTCCTTTCCAAATTATTTGCAAGTATGGAACAAAAAAGTATAAGAAACTCAGCAGGGCATTCTCTTTCAGAATCTATAAATCACTGAATCATGGTGCCAAAAGCTGACTTGGGTTTCCATATACTATCCACCATTTTAAAAGCCAAAAGTAAAAAGAATTTCTGAGTTTCTGCTTGTGTTTTACACCTTCTTAAATCCTGTGCATTCCAATGATTCTAATGAGCAATTAAGTTAGCATTTTTTAATAGTGGAGCAAAGTGTTTTTAAACAGAGATCAGTGCTGCTTAATGCACTTCAGTTGCTGCAGAGCCAACAGAGGGAGCTCAATTGCACATCGTACCTTCTCAGAGTCTGCAGGTGATATCTTGCTTTCACACTTCTGCAAATAAGGATTAAATCTACTGAACTCTTTGCAGATATGGCGCTAGAAATACTATGTCATATATTCACTGGCTTTTACTTTCTGCAACTTCATGAAACATCCAGATGGTGACCTGTACTCCAATACACTTTTTCTGCTTTTAATATTTTGTTTGTAACATAAAAGACACTCTCTAAAACTTTTCTTGAAGACATCTGTCAGAGAAGTAATTAAGTGAATGATGAAATAAAAACAAATTTAAATAGAAGCCTGAAAACACTGCAGAACAAACAGACACACCCAGGGTACAAAGAAGTAATTCTGTACAGCCTAAATTCGGTCTGTTTGAGAGAAATGTAATACTCTTTGTGGCGGACATGGTAATCTCTTTATTTAAAGCTGCTTCCTCATTTGCAGTCATGTAAAATGTCAGGTCCATTCTATCTCCTTCTCCATGCTTCTTCTACCTACTGCATGAGAACAAATAATGAACGCTAAGGCTCCGTGCCAGGCTGGCAAATAACTGAGACAAGGTCAGTTGGAACAAATTTATAAAGTTCAGTGTCAAAGCCCTTGTACAATTAAATTTTCAATATAATAACTGACAATGGCAGGCAGCAGAGACAGAGCTTCCAAAATAACTCAAGGGTTGGTCAACAAATGGGTGAGGCTGGAAATGTTTAGAAATAGTCATGCTGTACCTCCCCCATTCCCCAGGCAATAACCATGCTATGCCTGTGTTTTCAAATAAGGTATAATTTGAATGAGTAGATGAGGTTTCTTTGTGTTTTGGTCAGAAGTAAATTTCTTCCCTGTGTGATGCTGGTATGTAAACTAAGAAGTTACAGTTGCATTAGTTTGACAGTTACACTGATTAAAGAATGGAGGCTTTATTCTACCTAAATGTGTTGCTGAATTACAGTCAGCATCTTGTTCAATACCACGGCTGAGTGTGCAGCTCTGGCTTCCCCGCTGACTCCAGAGGAGTTACTCACAGAGCCCTTGGTCACATGCTGAAGCCAAAAGTCAGTTGTTTCTTTGTGATCCTGTGGCTGAAAAGGCAATATTTCTGTTGTCCTCAGAGAGGTCAGGATTTCTACCTTACTGATATTCAGCAGCAAATCAAGGAAACAATTTTTTTTTTTTTTTTTTTTTTATAACCAAAGTTTCCAAATATAAACCCACCATTAGCTACGTAAGCAGAATACATGAAATAGTACTGCTGTAACATAAGTGAGATCGTAGGTAGTTGGATTATTCTTTGAATAAACTTTGTAAGAAAATGAGAAGCTACAATGATTTGCGTTGTAAGTCCTATTACTGGACTACGTATCCTACCAGTGCTCATAAGAAGTACTGCCTCAAATGCATTTTGTTATCTAATCTTTTTAAAATTTCCAAGTACCGTTTTCCCTCGTGCAGATAATAAAACAGTTCAGTAGTGGTTATGTTTCCTGTCATACTGTAGGTAATGCACACTGATGTATAAAGCATTGATCAAAATCGCTGTTTTCAGCCAATTGTTTTACATGTGCTGATCAAAGTTTTGGCACTTTCAGAACTAAACCCATTAACTCACAAACATGACCCTATTTATAATTGAAAATATATAGATAACATGTGGTGAGTTTGAAAGCTGCTATTATATTCCAGAGAGAACCAATTTAAGGAAACAGAAAAGCTTGATCTCTTCTGATAGGCGGCATGTAAATAAAGCAGCCAGTATGAAATTCACCATGAGCTCACTTAAAATGTCCAAACCTTTCAAAGAAAATGCTTGAGCTATGTGGACTGTATCCCACTGGTGTTTCCTGTGACATACTGTGAATGCTACAACCATATGCATTGTAAATGATGAAAAGATATTATTCATATAGAATTGTAAACATGACTAATTTACTGGTACTCTGAAAAGGGTGAAAGTAGGTCTTTGAATAAGTTTTGATTCAGATATTTTGATCAGTTCAGTATGAATGGACACCTAGTTTTACGCCACTGCTAGGTTTCTTAGGCAATATATGTATTTTTCCCTTTCTCAAGAGTGAGCCCAGCTACCACCTACTGATATACTTGCTAAAGACATTCCTTAATGGCTTGCCGGTGTGTCTTTCTCATTCATTCAAGGTTAAGTCAAATGCTAGGTATGGGATCAGGAAGGAAATTTCTCCCAAGTCATTCTCCCCTCTGAAATAAATATCTATTACATGGACTGCCTCTTCTTGCAGTGATGAGGGACTGAATACAATGAAGGGACTGGGCAAGAGGAAAGCTACGACAGACAAAGAAGTCAAGAATACCATGCTTCTTCTGACATTCATTTTAAAACAAGACATGCAAACCCAAGTGATAAGGACCTATACATCACAGGCAGGAGAGGCAGGGAGGTGAGAGCACACGAGGACCAATTTCAGGCATGGCAGACTAACGAAGGGCATGCTCCTCCCTCTCCTACCACCTTCCTTCCTTCCTGAGCAGGATCCATTACATGGGGAGCAGCACACGGGCCTTGCTGCAAGGTGTGGGGCAACGATGGAGAAGCACTGGGGACAGGGCCTGTCTAGGATGGGTGTCACAGGCAGGATGGGGTCGCCTGCAGCCCCACCATCCTTACAAGCCTGTGGTGACATGGACCCTCTCATGGGTTTGTTGATAGGAGCTGGGCTAACGCCCTGTGTGAGGAATGGCAAGAGTGACATCAAAACTGGCTCTGAAAAGTGGTTGTAATGAAAATAGAGCTGGCTATTGTGAGCTTGGTTTTTCAAACATGGCCCTTTAAGCAGGATTTCCCCTTCAGTCCACAGGGGAAAATGCTAGGACTATTGTGAAAGCTTAATTACAACACATCATCGCAGCAGTTCCCACAGCTCACTTTCAGCTTTGCCCTTGTATGGGCTCGTACAGCACCGATACAAAGAACCCTGAGCAGCAACAGCAAGACTGAAAGAGAGAAGCCACAAGACATAATTTAGGAGTATTTGTTTCTCTCCAGTGCTTGGTGTAAACTCCATGTGCATGCAAAGCAGGAGGAGGTCTCAACTGAGAGTTTCAGTCCTTAGCATTTTTCTCCATATCCAGGTATGCTGCTCAGGTGTTGTGGTAAACCTGCATTCAAGACGGTGTGCCAGGATGCTAGCAATATAATATAAAATATATTTATATTATATAAATATAGCAATATAAAGCACAAACATCCAGTTCCAAAGCTATTTTCATACTAAAATTGGCCCTGAAACTCCGAAAGTGGGAAAAAGTGGGGCCAGCAGGAGTTGTTTTGTCATCCTAGGAATCTGGCCGAACACCCAGATCTGAAGTCCATGACCAGACATTTTGTGTGACTGCTCCTGGCCTCCCGAGCAGGTGGCTGCATGCAGAGCACTGATAGGATGATCCCAGGGGTGTACGAATTGCCAAGTGACCCCACAGGACAGCTCAGCCAAATGTTAGCTGGCACTGGTTGAAAGTGTGGCAAGGACCCTGTTAACAGCACAGCTTGGTAGACGGTCACAGCCAGTGCCTGGGAGCACTCCTAAGCACTGTTTGCTTTGCTAGGCTGGCTCTAGCAATAGTATGTCACTGCGTGGTGCCTAGGAGGACCTCCTTGGAAATCTAGTATGAGCCTCACATTGCTAACCTTTTCAGCACCTGCTCCTCCTCCTCCTCCCACAGATGGAGGTGGGGTTCAGCTACACAGGAAGATTTTTCATCAGCAGTTCTCAGCTGGATGTGCTAAGGACTGGACCCAAATAAAGGGGTAGCATGCACAGTTAGGGTATCCTTGCACCTCTGCCTTCCTCTCAGCTGCTTATCAAGCTAGAACAGTGTCTGTGCTCTGATACTGGGCTAGTGCTCAGTGTTTTAGTCCCTCTTCTGTTATCTAGTGTGCCCTAGGGCTCTAGTAGCTCACATGGATAAAACATGCGGCAAATTGAGACTGCAGTGATGAGTTTTGAGACATCTTCATGTATGTGCATAGATGCGTGCATGGGTACACACAACCTTGATTTAAACTGTGGGAAATTCCTCCTTAGGGAGTTTTTGGGTAACTGTTGAGGTACTGGGTTTCCTAAGAAGGATAAAGCCTTCTGTAGGCTTCATTATCATGGAGTGTGACACGGAAAACCACAGCTAAAGCTCCCGTTTTTTCATGAAAACAATTCTCTTGGGAGAATGTGATTTCATCAGTTGGTTTGTCTTTTAACTAAAAATCAGGATTATTAACACAAACATACCGGAAAAACAAAAAAAGTTTAATAAAGTTAACCCTTCTGAAAAAAAGGCTTTTTAATTTCAAGACTGAACTGAATGCATTTCAGAACTCTGTGCCATCAAAGTCTTCAACTCCT